GTATTTTTATTATAAATGAATTTGGGGAGAATAGGCTTTACTGAATAAAAGCAGAATGCATGTCCTATCACGAATGTTTTGGTTTCTGGTTTGGTATTTAAGTAGGGTTTGAAGTGCTCACTTGAGCAGGACTGGGGTGTTCACCATAGTCCCACAGGGTCCATGGAAATGTCTACACCATTTATATTTACAGTTAGATTAAAACTGGGAATCCCGAGTCAGGCTTGGCAGCTGCTAGTGTCCAAACCCACTACACTGTGGGTTTTGAGAAAATTACAATATTTGTCACAGACATGTTTTTCGGAAGCGCCTTCCTTCTTTGCCCTTTTCAAGTCTTTATGTTCCTTTGTTTTCATCTGTGGAATCTGAGTTTTATTTAAAATTCCAGATGGTTGACTGTTCTCAGTTGAGTGTTTATTCTCTTTTTTCTACTTTTTTTTCTGAAATAGCTGTTCTCACATCAGTGCCATATTTTGCCTTTTTAACTGTTAATGGTTGAATCTCTCTATATATAGTAAAAATGAGCAGCTGTTGTACCTAATTGCAGGGTGCGAATAATAAACATTCTCATACTATTTGTGTGAGTTTGTTTAGCCTAAGTATGATTTCTTGTAGTGCAGTAAAATCTTCTCAAAAACTCTGTCATTTTATTTTTCTTTACATTAATGCTTGCTTATTTTTGGTTCTCTGTGATTTTTTTTTTTTTCTATCTTAGCTGCCTCTGGTCGCTGGGAAATTCCTTAAAAAATGTTGAAGGATGATTTTATCTGTCTGAAGTTCAGCTAACAAGTTGAAATAAAAATAAATGCATGTAGCTGTCACTCCAGATACCATTAGGGATTTTTTTTAAGCCTATTATTATGTTTTAAAGAAACTAAAAGCATCTTGTTACAGGAGAAGGTAGGGAGCATTTCTCTGGGTCTCTAGAGATGGCATTTCCTGTCTCTTTTCTGATAGGAGAAAGGAGCTATGATGACTTCATTCCATGGCTCCAAAAGAAGTACTTATTATCTTTGTTCGGAGAACAATTCCTCCTTATTCAGAGATTGGAGGCACACTTTTTAGACACACATTTGCTCACTGTCCAGAGAAGAAATGTTCTGCCATTGCTTGTTGATAAACAACAAATACATCTGGCAAGCTTATTTGTTTAACTTTGTAACTGTTAACATAGCTTTTCCGGTGAAAAGAGGGAAGATAGAACTGGTGACAAGTGATCCCTGCTCTTCAGGTCACCGTGTGCACAGAGCGGTAAGGAGGGCTTTTGTTTCATCCTCAATTTCCTAAGGGATCACGCAGCGCAGAAAGTTTTTTCTGTGTTACAGCCAAATAAATGATGGAGGGACACACACTATGAAAGACCGAAAAGAAAATCAGTGTCACCTAGGTCTCAAGCCACATGAAAGGGTAGAGTCGTAATCACATATTTCCAGAGATAGTTTAATCATGGAAGGAGAGTGTAACTGAGGCGTCCTCATGCGAGAAGGGTCACCAGTACTGTCAGGGTGCACACTGTGACTTAAAGGTAACTGAATGTTTATTAAACATTTAAACTAAGGAGTGGCAAGAGGATTTATTTACTATATGGATTTTTCAATCAAAATCATTCCTAGTGCTTCCAAAATAAGACTTTTTTTTTTTTTTTAAAGACTCTTGTCTTCAGAGACGATTCCTTTTATAATAAAATCCAGGCAACCTGTTCCGGGCAGTGTCTGTGGCCGTCTGCGTGTACTTCTGTGCGTTTCCTCTCTCCACCCACAGCGCTGCCCTAGGCTGGAAGGGAGCTTTCGTTTTGTTACATCCATTTTAAGAGTTACTGTAGAGACAGAGCGCAAACCTAGAGTACACAGCTCTGAGCTTGCTGCTGGGGTTTTCTTCGTCTTTTTGTGCCTGTCTTTGAATCTCAAAGTGAAATTTCTGGGAATGGTGGTAACTTTTCAGCAAACTGCAGAACTGTGGTCCTGCTTGGGAAATAGGGTTAGTTCTCTTGACAGAGAAGTCACCAGGTATGAACTGTCAGGAACCAAGGGGCCTCCCTGGGAGGGCACGGTGTAGCCCAAGTGGTTTGAAATGGGCTCTCCTGTCTCTCCTGGGGACTCTCCCCCGCCTGTTCCGCCTCCCTGTCTGTCTCTTCCCTACCCCCACCCCCGTCACTTTCCCTCCAGACTTTTTTAAAGTGATATATGTGGCTTCCTCCAAGTTTCAGAGTTTTCCTAACCCTGCCCTCAGCTCTACTTCTTAATTCTTCCACAGCCTTGGTCTTGTCTTTTCTGTTTTGTCTTTGTGTCCATTATGAGAGTTGAAAAATGAAGCCCCGAGGGGCTCCCCTTGGGCTTGTAGAAACCCAAAAAATTGCTGGATAGATAAAACTTACTGCAAAGAGGCTCTTAAAACAGTGAAACTTGACCTCCAAAGAGAGGCAAGAAAACATTCCCTTATAAAGGAGCACTGTTCTTAAAAAAAAAAATCTGATGTTGTCTCCTCCTCCCTTGCCTTCCCAGTAGTCAGCTCTCTTTCCTGACTCTCTAAGTCGTAGGTTCTGACGAGGTCAGGCAGACTTAGGGGACCTTCTGTCACCTGACCTTCTCCGCAGCACCCTACCACCAGTGCCTGCCTCGTCAGCCAGAAAACAGACGGCACATTCAAGCCAGGAACTGAAGGACGGCCGCTTATTGAAAGGAGCATTTACGAGGTTGCGGGTTCAGGAAAAGTAGTAAGGGATGGTGCAGCACCCTGGGGCCAGGCACAGTGGGGAGCTGCTGTGGCCCCCAGGCCTCAGAGGGCAGGGGGGAGCCTTGCAGGAGCCTCATAGCTGAGGTGTGTGCAAGGTCTAGGGACCCAGCCAACCTGTAACATCTCAGCTACGGGAGGCTGCAGGTACACATTCCTGCCCTCCGACAGGCGACAGGCGACAGGCGGGAACCTCTCTGTGGCAAATCTAATCCAGCCAGAGGGCGAGGGAGCCCATTCGCGAGGTCCAAGCAAGCCAGCCTCTGGGGACACGGAGCAGGGTGGAGAGCGGGTCTGGGAAATCCCCAGTACATTGCCCAAGACAGTGAGGTCACAGTGGAAGGATATTAAAGGATTTAGGGAACTGGTGATTTTAGGTCACTGAATAAAAAAAGTCATCGTTTTCTTAGTATTTCTGTATATTTCTAGCATTTCTTTCCTTGGGATCTTTGTCTTCCTTGGTGATCTCATCCCATCTCCTGGCTTTAACGACCCATTTTATGCTCCCAGACGTCTTTGGTGCTGACCCCTTGCTGAACTCAAATTCATGCAACCAACTACGTGTTAGGCTTCCTACTTGGGAGACTCACAGAAATATCAACCTTACCCCATCTAAAACTATGTGTCTGATCTTCCCTCCTCGGACCCATTTCTCTGAGACTTCCCTCTCCTTCTAAAGCTCAGACCAACAATCTCAAAGTCACTCTGGGCATCTCATTTTCTCATATCTGATCTCATCCCCCAGAAAATCCTGGTGGTTTGATCAATAGACACCCAGAATCTGAACTCCCCCCCCTTCCCTGCACTACCACCATTTGATCTGCGGCACCGTCATGTCTGGGATTGCTACAACAGCCTCCTTTCTGGAATCTTCCCTTCACAACACCTATACTCAGAGTCACCCATTGGCTCAGCTCATTCAGACAGAAAGGCCTGCGAGATCCTGCACGTCTCCCCTTTCTTCTCTGGCCTTATATCCTAATATTCTCCATGAGGCTCACCTGCATCTAGGTCCCTGATGTCCTTGCTGGCTAACACCACACGAGGGCCTGCCTCAGGGCCTTTGCATATAGCAAGGAGGTGACTTTACATTTAAAAACATCTAAGCCAGGTGCAGTGGTGCATACCTGTAGTCCCAGAGGCTGAGGCAGGAGGTTCACTTGAGTCCAGGCATTAGTTCTAGGCTGTGGTGCGCTATGCCACTCGGGTGTCTGCACTAAGCTCAGCATCAATACAGTGACCTCCTGGGAGTGGGGGACCACCAGGTTGCCTAAGGAGGGCTGAGCTGGCCCAGGTCAGAAACAGAGCAGGTCAAAACTCCTGTGCTGATCAGGAATGGGATCGTGCCTGTGAATAGCCACTGCACTCTGGCCTGGGCAATGTAGCCAGACCCCGTTTCTAGAAAACAAATAAAATAAAAAAGAGATCTAAGTAATGAAAACATCCATCCATACAAAATCTTACACAAATGCAGCATTATTCATAATAACCCAAACCCAAATGTCCATCAGCTGATGAATGGATTAAAAAAAACATGGTATAGCCACGTAATGGAATAATCATTTGGCAATAAAAAGGAATAAAGTACTGGTACATGTGATGGTGTGGATGGACCTTGAAAACATCATACTAAGTGAACATCATAGATAGCGAAAACATGCCAGTCACAGAAGTCCTCACACTGCGTGATTCCATTCGTACGAAACTTCCACAGTAAGCAGATCCATAGAGACAGAGAGAAAACGGTGGCTGCCTAGGACGGGGGGAGGTGGGAGTGGAGGGGTGGAACCGGAAGGTAACAGCTAAGAGGTATAGGGTTTCTTTTTGGGGTGATGAAAATATTCTAAAATTGGTTGTGATGGTTGCACAGTTTTGCAACTAAAAACCACTGAATTGCACAATTTGAATGAGTGAATCATATAGTAGTGAATTATATCTCACAGCAATTAAAAAGATGATCAAAGTGATTGCTGTCTTAATAAAACATTCCTGTTTTTACAAGTGGTATGTATAAGCCTTCTAATTCAGTATTATTGCATCTGAAGTTTTAAAGGGAACTCTGTGACTATTTTTTTCCTCCAAGTAAAACCCATTTTATCTGTGATGACTATTCTTTTCATTTCCTCTTTATGTTTTTACTCTTAAATTTCTTAGGACTGCGCATACTAGATGTTCAACATTTAAATGTTATTTAAGTGGATGAAAATTTGTTCATCTGTGTTCGTATGAGAAAGAGGGGTACTCATCACTGGTGTGTTTTCCCTTCCCAGAACTTTCATGATGGGCGTAAAGCGCAGCAGCACATAGAGACTTGCTGGAAGCAGCTCGAATCCGTAAGTGAAAAACAAGCAGCTGAAAAAAACGTCCTTATAGATTTTCTAATTTGGATTTAATTTGAGCTTGAGTTGATCAGTAAGCAAAAAACATACAAAGACAAACACTACAGAGGCGTCCTTGTGGATTTTTCCTGTTTGAATTTAGTTTGTTTCCTGAATTGTTATTTAAAATTTGAGCCAGAAGAGCTCAAGTAGAGTCTTTTTCTATAAGTCATATGGAAAGAACAACAATTAGACAGTTTTGATGGAAATAAATGCAGTTTTAAAAATCACTTTCAGAATATATGATATAAATCAATTCAGAGAAGAATTTTTTTTGGAGTTTAGGTAAAGTTATATCTTCTCATAGGAATCTCACGGTTTCATAAATAATTATTTTCCTCTGATTTTAGAGTAAAAGACGATTTGAACGAGACTGCAAAGAGGCTGACCGAGCACAGCAGTACTTTGAGAAAATGGATGCTGACATCAATGTCACAAAAGCAGATGTTGAAAAGGTGAGGTGCAAGCGGGAGTCTCTCTCTCATTTCCCTTGTGAGTGCTCGACACAGACAGCCTGTCCCCAACTTCCCCTTCTGATGTGGTCACGAAAGGGCACCCAGCTGGGGCTGCCTGCAGCCGTGTCTTCCCCCCAGTAACCCACTCCGGTGATAGCCAGAGTAGCTTTCATTTTGTGTTAGCCATGGTGGGGACCAGAAGCTAAATTTGGGGGGAATTTTCAGTGTTAGAATTTGAGAAGTTTATCTGTTTAGTCACCAGGACAATAATGTGGAGACTTAGATCATGAGCAGATGTAGGACGGTGGTTTCAGGAGGTTGTAGCTCTTTCTTAATGGCTTTTCAAAGAGAAAGTCAATTTCTTGAGAGCCGAGGAGACGGTTCGGGCCATCTGGAAGAGCTTGGCTGCTCATAATGTTTCCTTTAAAAAGATGAAGAGCCTCACACTGCCTGCCTGGCTTCTAATTGATTCCTGCAGGTTCTAGCAGGGAGGGTGTAGCTGAAGGCGTGCATTTGTAAGTCCTCTCAAGCTTTTCTCTAAATGGACTTGCACAGGCAATTAAGGGTATTATAAAGCTTGCACTGTATTTTCTCGTGGCGCAATATGTATTTTTTCCCTAGAAGCTGAGTTTTCTTTTTATAAAAGTCATCAATACAGTGTAAACAAAATTAGGCTGTTACATAACAGGATTCATTCATTACTGCCCAGGGCTGCTCGGACATTCATAGCCTCGTGCTGCACATGGGTGAAAGCCCTCTGTTTTCATAGATTTCTTTGCTTTTGCCAGATTAGTTGGAGATGAGTTTAGTTAGGTAACAGTGTGAATTAATATTTGCCCAAGTCTGCTAAATACCTCACTTAAAGATTAGGTATATATTAGTATACCTTTCTGTAAAATTATTTAATATATTAAAATACATATTCTCACTAGGCGTGGTGCCTCATGCCTGTAGTCCCAGCTATTCAGGAGGCTGAGGCAGGATGGTTGCTTAAGCCCAAGAGTTCAAGTCTAGCCTGAGCAACATAGCAAGACGTATTCCCTATATCTGTGTTTGATCTCAAAATGGGGCTCTTTATTTTACCAAAAGACATATTAATTTGCTGATAAAGTTACCACAATTATCATAAATTCACCATAAGTTTCCATTAAATGGCCAGCTCCCCAAATTATTTAAAATGTTATTCAACTAAAATAAGTTTGATTGAATCAAGGTTTATCTAAAAAATATTTTAGGTTAAATGAGGTAAAATCAGTATATGTGTCATGTATATATTGTGCTGCATACGTTTGTGCTAAATATATATATTAATATATTTATAATTGGGAGAAGGATGAAGTCATCCTTCTCCTAATTTCCACCACAGAGGTAAAATTTATCCTGAATTTGGTGTTAATTATTATTCATAGCTTTAGCACCTGTGTATGTGTCACCAATGGGTAAATTGTTATAATTTTGTCTCTTTTTCATGTTTATATAAACAAAATCATATTTTATTAATTTTTTTCTAATTTGATTTTCTTTCATTCAACACTAGATTTTTGAGACTTAATTTATGTGGAGTGTAGAATACATGACTTTTATATATAAATATATACTGGAGGCTGCAGTGAGCTATGAAGATGCCCCTGCACTCCAGGCTGGGCAACAGAACAGGACCCTGTCTCAAAAAAAAAAAAAAAATTTCAGAGCCAGGTGCCTTCCTAAACTATCTTTTCACTTTTATTTTGGTTTTTCTATAGAGACAATCATATCACCAGCAAATAATGATCGTTTTATTTCTTCTTTTCCAATCTTTATGCCTTTTATTTATTTTGCTTATCTTACTTTGCTGGCTATGACCTCCAGTATGCTGAGGAGAGACAGTCATTGTGGACTTTCTTATCTTGTTCGCGATTACAAAGAGAGTGCTTCAAATATTTCCCCGTTCTGAATGATTTTAATATACCCTTCATTGGATTAAAGAATTTTCCTTCTTTTCCTATTTTGCCAAGAGGTTTGTTTTTTTAAGTCTAACTTGATACAGAATATCATTACATATTTTTTCTGCTTCCTTTAATTCATTAAGTGACAAATTACATTTATCAGTTTTCTTACATTGAACCAAATTGGCGTTCCTGGGACAAACTCAACTAGATTATGATGTATTTTTTTTATACATAGCTGAAGTTGTTTTGTTAATATTTTACTTAAAATTTTTCACAGAAATGGTCTATATTCATTGAAATTGGTCTATAATTTTCCTTTCCTGTCTGTTCTACTTTGCCTTACTTGTGAGTTTTGGTGTGTTTGTTCCTTTTCTGAAATGATATATATATAATAAAATTAACTATTTCTTAAATGTTTTATGATACTTCTTTGTGGGAAAGCTTCTAACTACTGATCTAATTTTTTATTGTCTACTTCTTCTGGGTTGATCCTAGTGGGTTATATTTCTGTAGAAATATATCTATTTCATCATAAGTTTTTAAACGTAGTGGCAAAAAGTTGCCCATTATATACTCTCACTTTAATTTTTGCTGCATATGTTATATCCCCACTATTTATTCGTAATATTCCTAATTGTTTATTTATACTTTTTTCTTTTTGCTGGATTAGTTTTTTAAATATCATTTTTATTAGTGTTTTCTAAGAACCTAAAAATCAAATTTTTATCTTTATGGAGCCTCTCTTTTCTATTTTTATCTTCTATTTTTTTTTTAAGTTCTTCTTCCCTTCCTCTTCCTGCCTCTCCTCCTCCCCTCCCCCTTCCTTGCTTTTTCCTCCTCCTCTGTCATTGTCTTGGTTTTATTCCATTGCCTTTTTTTTTTTTAACTTTATTTATTTTTTTAGAGACAGAGTCACTCTCTTACCCAAGCTGGAGAGCAGTGGTGTGATCATAGCTCAGCAGCCTTAACTCCAGGATTCAAGTGATCCTTCTTGCCCAGCCTTCCGAGTGGCTAGGACTATAGGCATGTGCACCATGCCTCGCTAATTTTTAAAAATTTTTTTGTAGATATGGGGTCTCACTATGTTGCCCAGGCTGGTTTCAAACTTGTGGATTCAAGAGATCCTCCCGCCTCCGCCTCCCAAAGTGCTGGGATTATAGGCGTGAGCCACCTCTCCCAGTCCATTACCCTTTCATTATCCTTTCAAAAAGTTCTTTCTCCAGACGCTTACCTCAACCTTTCTTCTTTTCTAATCCAAATATTAAGATTACAAACCTCCTACTTGCCTGCATCCCACAAATTTTGATGTGTAGTGTTATTAATGTTGTTCATTTCTAGATATTATTCATTTCTTTTACTATTTAATCTCTTACCTATGATTTATTTAGAAGCATGGTTTTAAATTTCCAAATGTATGACCTATTTAAACTTAGCTTTGTGTTATTAATTTCTAATTAAATCACATTATGGTCCTAGGAAGTCTGTATGAGTTTGAGTCTTCTATATTTGTTGAGACTATTTTATGGCCTGGTTGCATTTTTATAAATGTTATATAAGTAGTTGAAAAAAATATGTGTTCTCCAGTTCTTAGTTGTAGAGTTCTACATATTTTCATTAGGCCAAACTTGTTGATTGTGTTATCCAGATGTTCCTATCACTAAGGATTTTTTTATCAGCTTGTTTTAACATTTGCTAAGAGAAATGAACTCTGAGGAACAGGACTAATGCGAGTATTAATTGAGTTAATATGTAAACGGTACTCAGAACCATTTATAAGATGCAACCAGTGATCCATAAGTTAACTATTATGATGACAATGGTGGAGAATTTGTTGTTTTCTGTCAACTTTGCTCTTTTATTATGAAGTTTTTCTATCAAACAAAGTTAAAAATTTTAATATCTTTGGTATGATTTAATTTCTCATCAGTGTATAGCAGTCCTCTTTCTCCAGTTATGCTTTATGCCCCAGGGTCTGTTTTGCCTGATATAGACCAGATTTCTTTAGGTTGACACTGCCTGGCAAATGTTTCCTATACTTTTTGACTTCACACTTTTCTTTGTCCTTGTATTTAGATGTGTCTCTTGCAAATGGCATATGGCTGATTTCTGACAATCTCTGTGTTTCCCCCAGAGAGTCTGGAGTCACGAACACCATCTTATTTCGTCTCTTCCGTTGGTGTCACTTTTTCTGTTTCCTTCCCTCTTACCCTCACTGTACTGGGCATTAATGTCTTTGCCCTCCTTGCTTGGAGATACAGGTCCATGAGAACACTTTTGATAGAGACTCGTTTCATCAAAATTGAAAACCTGATCCAGGGTATAGCTGTCTGCATTCACCCATTGTTTTACTGTAGAGGGAAATATCGTCCCAACTTTTGCATTCATACTCCAACATAACAGAGAAATCACTAAGCCAGCCACCACTGGCAGCTCTATACATTTTTAGCCCTTTTCTTAAGATCGTCATGATATTGCTAAAGAGAAAACTTACTCATAATGTGCTGTGAGAAATTGCATACAGACCAACAAGACTTCTGTGTTATGCTACATCATTCTCCATATTTCAGTCTTATAAGATGGTACAAGTCACAGCAGAGACACGTGTGAGGTCCAGAGCAGATTGTGAGTGATTATGAAAGTGTGTTTCTTAGAAATTTATCTGTGGTGATGGAGGCCTTGAAAGTGGGTTCTCCAGGAAGCAGGCGTACTTGGGGGCACTACCAAGCTGCATCAATGTAAATTTTCCACTTAGGATATGGGGTCCACACATGGCTCTATGAATTCTGGCCGCTTTGTAGTTCAGAAATTTCCAGGATGACTTTTTTCCTCCATTTTTCTCCCTTAGGTCAGCTCTAAAGCAGGTAACGTAAAAAAAAGTACACTTGCTGGATCCAAAGGCAATGTTAGCGCTTTGATTGTGTACTTCCAAATTGAATTGCTATCCTCAACTATGTGAATATTTCAAAAGATCTAGTGTTTTTTCCTTATACTGAGAGCATCATTTTGTAATTTTTGTGAAAGTACTACATACCTCCTCCCCAAGGATATGATAAGCTACTCAATTTTGGCATT